GCTGGCTCAAACTGGGTTTAGGAAGCCAACAGACAAGTGCAATATCAGACTCCACACCTGCAGCCTTTACACTGTTTGCAGAAATTGTGAGAAACCTTGAGCCTGAGGCTGGTGGTTCTGTTTGAGTCTAACTGGCTCCTACACCCTGCAGGCTGAGGACTGAGGAAGTACAGAGTTCACTAGAATGAGGTCTCTCAGAGCACGGAGGGAAGAAATGACCATTAAATGCTGGAGCAGGGGCTGTGTCCATCATAGACCCGAGAGGTTTGCCTGGCGCAAGCGTGGGTCTCCTTTTCATGCTGACCACACCACCTCCACCAAACCGTCAATAAAATCAATGGGGACTCATTTACTCAGTTTTTCTCCCTGGAAAAAAAATAATCATGCAGCCTGCCTTCATTCATTCTTAGAATTCAAAAGAGAAAACACCGGGTGCTTTAATCTTGAGCTTGGTTAATGAGATGCAGTTTAGGAAAACTTTTATGACAATCCACTGTGATCACCAGCCCTGAAAACATGTCTTTGGGCTTAACCTTGGAACCTACGTTGTAATCACCATCCAACAGGACTTAACATCCCCATTTGAAGGAGAGAATAACGTCCACCATTGTGTGGTTTAACTTGAGCAAAATCCACGTTTGAAAACGACATCATGAAATCCATTACTTTGTACAAATAATATATGATAATAAAAATACTTTACTAAGTGGAGCCGGGCAGTGGTGGCACACATCTTTATTCCCAGCACTCGGGAGGCAGAGGCAGGTGGATCTCTGTGAGTTTGAGACCAGCCTGGTCTACAAGAGCTAATTCCAGGACAGGCTCCAAAGCCACAGAGAAACGCTGTCTCGGAAAAAAAAAAAAATTCACTAAGTGGATCTCACTGGATCTTTCCATATCCATACTTCATGTGCTCCCCTAAATGAGGCTAGAATTACATAAGAAATCAAATCGCCAGTTGGCCTTTGTTGAAAACACCATGATTGTCTGTAACTCTCAGAATCCATGTGTCTGTCTAAGCCACACAGTCCTTTCCAAAACCCAACCTCCCATGCAGAGCATTGGCTCCAGTTCACTGTGGCAATGGAGTCCTAAGAACCTAGGCTACAGCACTAATTCTCACCTTGGGTCCTGCTGTCTCCTAACCCCACTCTCCATTGGCCCCCAGCCAATGTTGCACATTTTTAACCTGTATCTACTTCTGATTGTGAAGCTCATGCATCTTCTGTGCTTCCTACCCCGTGCAGGGAGCCTCAGAGGGAGTCCCGTGGGGTGGGGCAATCAGTCCTGCTTTCTTTGTACTTCCAGATCAGTGTTTTCAGGAAGAGGCAATAGGTCTGTCTAAGTGCTCAGGATACATGTGTGTGTATACACATATGCCCTTGGATGTCTTTGACCTTGTCTCAACCACCTCTTCACCAGGCACGGCCTTTTCACTGTGGTCAGTGTCTACATGGACCAAAGATCCTCAGCTCTGGCCCTGGGCTAACCCATCTTACTTAAGCCAAAATGACCAGAGAGTGTAGGACAGCGTGCAGGGGAGGCTTAGGGTCTCATGTCTGATTATCATGTCTGATGTGTTATATAATGGAGTTATCTCCCTCAAACAGTTTCCATACAGGGTGAGAGGGCATGTCATGTTTTAAATTTATTCTCCATTAAAATCTCACTCGGGGCTCTCCAAAATGAATTTTTTCTTTGTTTGTTTTGAAAAGCCACTTAAAAGCAAACCCTAAGATGAAGACCTAGGACACTATACTTGCTCCCAGGAATCCTTTTTAGCAACGGGAGGCTCTTCCTTCTTGTACATGCTACTTTACAACCTCAGGCCTTGCTGGGAAGATTTCAAATGCGGTTACCAGACTTAAGCCCACATTTAGATCCCTACAAAATTGTCTCCCAATTCACCCCCTAGGTTGCCCCAAGCACAGCTGACACACTTTAACACGGATGGAAATCAGATGCCCGCAAACCACCTCCCCTCTCACTCTCACACGGTCCTAAATCTGGACTTTATTTCTTTGCTAGACTTTTTTGTTGGTGGTGTTCTACTTTTTAAAGTAAATTTATTTTCTTTTTTATTTTACATCCAGGGTTCAACTTCCCCTCCCTCCTCTTCAGTCTCTCTCCCATCCTAACCGTAAACCCTGTCTCCCCACAATCCACTCCTCCTCCATTTCTGTTTAGGAAAGGGGCAGATCTCCCACGAGATCAACAAAGCACAGCAGAGCGAGTTCCTTGCTACACCTAACCTGTTCTTCTGACCACATGCCATTCTCCCTGCAATAAATGAATAAATAATGCTTCTGAGGCACGGAAACCACACTGTGCTAAGTTGTCCCCTTTAAATCCAGCATCAGGACCAGTTTATGGTTGCCCCTTCCCCTTTGGGGCCAACAATCCCAGAATTGTACAGAGCTGACCCCAGGCAGCCTTTGGCCTTTCAGGGTCTTCTCTGTCCAATATAGGTTAGTGTTGACTCAAGGGATTAACTAGAGATCTCTGGAGTTTCTCCACCTGCTATGAACCCTGAGGGCTGCAGAAAGAGACTAATCACACACACACACACACACACACACTCACTCACTCACTCACCTGCATCAACCCCAAATAAGCCTGAGGGCAGAGGGAAAGCAAGGCCTCTGCTTTGGCCAACAACTAGTCATGTATGATCATGTGTCTCCAGTCCTGCCTGGGAATTATTGATACTATAAGCAGTGTGTGTAGTTCATCCAACTAAGGGAAACCTTGGGAACTCAGTGCCCTTCCCTGATCCTTCCCTGACCCCTTTATTAAATCTTAAAGTAGATTTGCTTTAGTCGAAGGACAAATCTCTCTTTTCCAAAGAACACCACCAGCCAGGGACTAAGAGACTGGCCAGCAGCGGGAAGATCAGGAGCGGTGGTGTGGATGAGAAGCGGAAATGGATGCCCGGGAAAGCTGGGGTGTTGAAGGACTGGGGACACAGAAGCAGATTTCAGAACGAGCACTGGGCTGTGACACTATTTTGTGGACAGCCAGGACAGGGTGGGGTCTGTGAGACTGCCCTAATTTCAGGTTCGGCAGAAAGGAGGTTGTGAACCTAATTGTGGGTTGACCTCTGGGATTAGGCTCCTCCCTGGAGACCTACGCAGTCAGGAGATCTTCTGAGCGCCCAAGGAGGCACTGGAGGCCCCCCAGGCATGAGCCTTGGCAGGAAGAGTGAAAGAGCACTATCCAGGGTTGCTAACTGGGCACAGGAAAGGCGCCCCTGCTGCAGGATTAGTCTTCTCTCTAGACCCCTCCTTGATGAGAATCTGTTGAGTTATATGCATGGGGAAAGCTGACTGTACAGCCACCCCTTCCTACTGCAAACCAGGTGAGGTCCTCCTAAGCCTCGTGCTTCTGAAGTCTTAGTGAAGCCCAGAAGAAAGCCCCTCCTCCACACAGAAGGGAAAAGAAACCTTGTCCTCAATGCCCTTGCTCCTCAGAGCCCAGGGTGCTCACCTCCTTCTGCTCCTCCCTGCCCCAGCTGTTCAGAGGCCCCCATGTGCATTTGGATTCCACCAGGAACCTGGTACCAACTGCTGCAGTGTGACAAGGCTAGTCCTGGATCTCCTGCTTGTTCGCTGGTGGCCCTGAACCAGTGAATGCATTTCTCTGTGCCTCAGTTTCCTCGTCTGTTACAGACTGTCCAGGGTATTGAGAGGTTCACAGAACGGGGATCCGTGTGGGAGTGCTTGGCACTGCACTCAGTATCTTCACCATGAAGCAACCAATGGCTGTCACTGTGGCTCCTGTTTCCAGGGTTGCCAGGAGACTCCCATCTCCCAGCCCAGATTCACCCCCTCCCCCAAGCTCTTGGCTCGGTCCCACGTCCTGTACCTCAGTGCAGCACCACCTCGCCCGCCCTTCTTCCTGTTGTTTATATCCAAAGCCGCCTGCCCGTCAAAGAGAGGAGAGCCTTGAGGAGGCATTTCATTTCTGAAGTTGTTAATTCTACTCTAGACTTCCAAAAAAAGCTCACCCATCTGTCAAACATTTTTTTTAAATAATAAAATACAAAGAAGATAACAGATCTCTCAAAGTAATTAAGTACCAACCCAGGGGAAATGAAAACGGACTTGCCTGGACTTCTAGTTGAAAGAGGATAGCATTGTATAACCCCAAATCTTCATGTGGGAGAGATTGTAATCTCTTAAAATAAAAATATGCAAGCCACAAATTTACCCCAGCATAACATGCTCTGCATACACAAAATAGGAGAAGCATCTTCAGTTTGAGATGAACTCTCCTGCCAACACCCCCTGGTGTCTCAGAGGTAGCAGTCTGTCCGTCTGTCTGTCTTTCTGTGTGTGTGTCTGTCTGTCTCTGGGTGCCTGTGTGTCTGTGTGTCTGTCTGTCTGTCTGTCTGTCTGTCTGTCTGTCTGTCTCTCTCTCTCTCTCTCTCTCACACACACACACACACACACACATACACACACACATATACTCTTAGACTAGGACTTTGTATGCTTCCTTGGGTTCTGTTTAACTGATTAATGGCAAGCCCTGTCTGTCACAGGCAATGGTTCTGCAGGAGCTGCCACCCCAGCACAAATCCTCACTCCCTTCCCCACCTCTCTTCTGAAGCTGTGCTTCCCAGCTCTGTCCGCCAACCCTCAGATTGTGCCCCAAGGAAACACGTGAGGACACACTCCTTGGAAGAAGCACAAACCCTCAAGAGAGAGTCAAACAACGGGCTTTCTCTTCAAAGGTACAAAACCCAAAGTCACAGATCAGAAACGATATACCTACCCTTTTTTTTTTCTTTCTAAGGTTGATTTCAAAAGTTGTAAACTTAACCAGTTTCTACACTGTCATTCAAACCAAGATATCAGGAGACTCTATCCTCAAAGCAAATAATGACAGGATTCATTTACGCCTCAACCCCTCTGGGCACCCTTCGTGTTTCTGAGACTCCCAGAGGTGCAGACCCTTGTCACTGCCCGGTTCCCTGTGTTAGCACAAGCATTGCTCACCTCACTCATGTTGGCCTGACTCCGCAGCTACGTCCCACAGAACAGCACAGAAGGCAGTGCTCAGGGGTGGCTGTTTCTCTGGTCCTGGCTTTTCTCTTAAAAAGAGCTGCTGGATGGCATCATGCCTCCCGCCAGCCAATGAAATGCATTCACCTGTCTGAACGCCTGCAGACATACGAGAGTGCAAAGAGCCACCTAGTGGAGAATCGTGGAACTGCGCAGTAGGTCTCAGCTCCACTACCAAGTGGGAACCGAGGAATTCATTGCACGCCAGAGCATCCACCCTAAAAGGATTCTACACCGCAGAGATACTTGCTTATCCATGTTCATGGCCGTTCTAGTCACGATAGCAAGAAAAGAGAAGCAGCATAGTTTCCCATCAGCAGATGAACAGATAATTAAACTATGGTACAATCGATTTTATTCAGCCATAGAAGAAAAGGAATCATGAAATTTGCAGTGAAACGGACGAAAAAATGGAAAATACTATGGTAAGTGAGGTAGGCTGGACTCAGAAAGATAAATGCTCCTGCTCATACGGCTATCCCAACTTCAACTTTTTACATGTATTTCTATTTGAATGAGGGAGGGTTCAAGGGATGAAGTAAAGAGGGTAAAAATAAAATTATATGAAAGTGGATGGGGAATACTGGTAGGTAGGGGGAAATAAATGAGGAAAAGGAGCAAGGAAATGGGAGAGAAGAGAGGAGGGGGAAGACCAACCAAAACTAAGAATTTTGAAAAGGCCGTAATGAATACTGTTGCTTTGAAAGGTTTTATTTTTTTTAATTTAAAAGAATGATGAACATAAGAGTCACGGCCACACAGCTGGCCACAGGACCCCAGTGTTGATGATGTATTGATGTATTCAGAGGTGTGAGGTTCACACTCTCGGGGAATAGATCTCACACATAATTCACTGGTTTGGTTTTCCGATGAAGAGCAATGGGAAGTCCTCCTGAGCTTCCAGCAACTGTCTCCTGCCTCCCTTTTGGAGCACCAGGCTCAGGCTTTAGAGTTTACCATTTTTGTCCCCTGTACCTCATCTGCCTGCTTGGGCCCCAGGGTAGAAGGATGTGGACAGGTGTGTGTTGTGACCTTTGGAGTCTAACAATCCTGAATCCCACTTGGCAGTGGTGGGGTGTGGGCAGCTTCTTTCCCTGAGGGTTCTCACAGCCCCACCTAGCAAATGAGACCCCTTTAAAGGGCTCCTTGCCCTGGTCTTATCTAGCTTTGTGGGTTAGAAACTCTTTTCTTTTTTCCCGTTAGTCCTGACCATGGGAGTCTTAATATCCACACTGGAGGTGTGGTGTCTGCCAGGTGAGAGATAATCGCAGGCTACATCCTAGCTAATCCCAGTGAGCATCAACATGACTAGAAGGACCAGGTCAAGAGCCCCCAAAACCTTTCCTAGCATCCCCAAAACCTGCCCTAGTGCTTCCCTGCACCCAGAAGGACCCACATTGCACCCCTGTGTACTAATTTTCTCTTCTCAGCTCAGCTGTGTCCACCCCAAGTTGTCTGCCTTATGTTCCCACGGTCATCTTCCATGTGTCCCCAATTGGAAAGGAGCAAAGCCAGGCGCTCTGTCTTAACAGAGCTCTAGTCCATGTGTGTGGGTAGGAATGAGATCAGAGAGCAGCAGACCAGAGTCTCAGCTACAGTTCCAACTGTGGCCCAGCCTAGCTCAGAGTCATTGTCATGGGCATCATGTCTTCCAAGGGGAAGCACTGGATGTTCACCAGGGTACGTATTTCACAGAGTGAACGCTGTGGGCAGCATGGTTCACAGCATGCGTGTACACGTATGCTAGTGTGTATATTATATACAAATCAGTTATGTATTCTAACCATATAAACATATAGACAGCATCCTCTTCATCCTCTACATCCACCCCCTTATGAAGGCTCAGCATCATGACATCCTTAGGTATCCCCAGATCCTGAACGCAGACCTGGGACCATAGTGCTATCTGCTCAGATAAAAGGCTGCAAACAGCCCAGATAAAAGGAAGCTCACCCATCCTCAGAGGAGAAGCAGAAATGCAACCACTCCCTCCCTCCCTCCCAACAGATACCGGACTTGGAAATCTGAACCCCGGGCACCATATGGCGACTCTGCAGATGGGGAGCCCATGAACAGTCAACCAGAGACTTCCCACAACAGCACGGCACACAGGAGATGCCACATGGACCAGGAACTTGGAACCTGAATCCAGGGTGTCAAGTAGCTTTGTACACAACTTTATCAAAAGTCTGTCTGATCATCAGTGTCCACTCTTCTCCACTGGTTACAAGAATTAAGACTTTGTCGCTGAAGACTTAATCTCTGTGTGTGTGTGTCTGTCTGTCTGTCTGTCTGTGATCTGTGTGTACTGAGTATATTGAGTTGAGCTGGTAAATAAATGCTGAAAGAACCTGAGGAGAGTAAAATTTATGACTTCATGTTTTACATCCCAGTTCATGTTTCACTCTTGCCACATTAAAATATAGGCAGCTTTTGTAATTTATAATTTATGGAACTGTGTAAAGTGTGTGTGTGTGTGTGTGTGTGTACACTCATGCAGAAGAGACATGCTCTTGCCTAGGGGGCAGAGGTGGGCCAAAAAAATGTTGAAAACATGGGCACACTCTATTTTTGATTGGGCCTTTAATCAGACTTTTATGTCAAGTGCATCATTCTTCAGATATGGAGTAGAAGAATTTTTTTTTAAAACCAGGCTCATGTAACGCTTCATGTACCTGAAGGTCCGTTGTAATCCCAGCTACTTGGGAGGCTGAGGCAGCAATTTCAAAGCCAACCCGGGCAACTTGGTGAGCCTCTGTCCCAAAATAAAAAGGGGGAAAGGGAGTCAGGATATTGCTCAGCAGTAGACACCTAGCCTGGTATTGTAGGGCTCCAGGTAAGATTGCCATGGAGGAATAAAGAAAGGGAGAGAGGAAGTGGGGAAGGAAGGGAGGGAAGGAGGTAAGAAGGAGCCACCCCCAGCCTCCTTCCTGCTTCTTCAGATTTTGATGCCTGACATCGTCACGCTTTATGGTCCAGATGCCACTATGTTCCCACACAGCACACACAATCCCTGCACAGGAAGCTTTGGCACTGTCAAAGGGGCTGTAGCAGGGCTTGGCGATGGCTTCCAGCTTCCATGATAACCCTCCTTTTCCTACTTCAGCCGCTCTCCCGTCAGCATTGAGGACAGCCCTGTGCACCTCTGCCATCCCTGGGTCCCAGCAACCCCACCCTAACAGAGGCCCATGGCTCCCACCTGGTTCCTCATCTTTCTGCTGCTCTGAACATTACCAACCTGCTAGATAGATGTCACTGAACTCTGAGTCAGGGGCCTCTCTGGTTCTGATTACTCTGTGGTGTTCTCCAAGCATGTGGTGGTCTTGGCATACCAATGGGCACCACTACCTATGAGTCTTGTCTTTCTATCTGGGCTTGGCACCCTTTGGAGGAGGGAAAGGCCAGGCCCTCCCACCCTGCTCATGCTTCTGCTGCTCTTAGGAGTCTCATAGCCCAGCAAGGAGTGGACACCCGAAGCTACACACAAACCTTCCAGCAGCCACCAAGTGTGAAGGTTATGCAAGAAAGAAAACTCTAGATGCACTTGCTTCCTGAAGACATATAAGAATTCTCTCTTTTGCAAGTGGTAAAGAGTCTTTCAAATATCTCTACGCTGCCAGTTTCAAGCCTGCTTTCTAAAACTGCTTCTTTAATTCTAGCAAAGTGAACTTCTTCCAAGCCTAGATCATTGGACTTTGCTGCATTTGTGGGAGAAATGGAACAGCAAAAATAGAAGGCTGTGGCCTTGTCGGGGTTTAGCACATGATGCGGTCCAGCCATCCTGCTGTCCTGTTCTACCCTCCATCTCTCCCAGGCTATTGGTCCCCTTTACCTAACTGGTCTGCATAATGGGTGTGTATGTCTTATTGTTCAAGCTTGTTGGACTTCCCTTCCTCTGTCTCTGTCTTCTTCACCTCATCTCTCCACTCTCTCCATTCCCCCTCCCCCACCCCATCTATCTTCCTCCTCCTTTTCCTCCTCTTTAGCTGTCTCTTGTCTTAAATCATGTGTGTTTTATGCCCTCAGCCTTCCATCCCACTTTGATGCTGGGTGGCACCATTGTTTCTTTCCCAAGCTTCCAGGTTCAGGGAAGAAGAGACTGGTGGAACAGCTGAGGGGGCGGACCGCGGCTTCTCCTCTGAGCTCCAGTGCAGCAAACTTGTCTGAAGCCGCTGTCTTCCTAAGCTTTGAATTATTTTTATCCCTGTTTATAGAGGGAAAGGTCATTGTATAACCTGCAGTCTCTTTCAGCCCAATTAACAGAGTAAGCCTGTCCTGGGGACCAGGGCTGTCTGTGATGCTCACAGAACCAGCCTGTCACCCCTGTAACTTCCTCTGTGACACGGAGGCCAGCGGCATTTGCCAAAGGCTGTGCCATGGGCCTGCTGGCAGGACTCTCAATCCCCAGTGTCCCTGACAGCTAACGCAAGTGTGCTTTGTTGTGTTCTTAATTATCTGCCCGTCTCCATTGTAGAGCAGGGAGAGCCTCCCGGCTCACTCTTCACAGTGTCCCCAACCTGCTCGCCTGGGGCGGAGGACAGCACCTGCTTATACGAATTCCTCTAGATTTGACATGCCACAGCCCTGGCCCCCAGCCTGTTTTTAGAACCAAGACTTTAAAGAGATGAGCAAGATCAAACACGTGCGCAAGATGGGTCCTAGTCCAGCATGACTGGTGTCTTTACATGAGAGGAGACTGGAATGTAGCCCAGAGTGACCAGGCCATCATGAGAAATGCTGTCTGCAAGCCAAGGAGGGGGCATCCAGAGGAACCAGTCCTGCTGACTCCTTGACCGCAGACTTCCAGCTGTCAGGAAATGCCAGCTGTGTATCCTCCTCTCTGTGGAGTCCTATTCCAGCCTCCCAAGCTGGCAATGCCGCCTGACCCACAGCCAAGGCTGGCGTCCGTTGTGGACTCTGTAGTAGGCACTCCAATCCCCCTCTCACATACCAAGGACATGTTCTCTCAGCTGCTGACATCACCAGCAATGGACTCTATTCTCAGCTCAGTGTCTCCAAAGACTGTGCTCAGCAGCAGGTTGCTGCCTGCAAGCCACTATGCCATGCAGAGCAGGTGTCTCTCCCCTGGAAGCCTGGCACTCTTGTTCCGGTTCTAGAC